GGGCACCATCCTGGTGGGCAGAGTGGGCTCCAGCCAGGCCAGGGCGCCTTGGTGGCATCTCGTGGTCACCTGTACACAGGAGCCTGTGTGGACTACAGGGCAGGGCTGGGAGCAGGCTGGCTGGGGCTGCTGGCCCTGCAGCTCCAAGGCCTGCCCATGGTGCATCGGCAAGACTGGCCAGTGGGTGGCGGGGAGCAGAGGGAGGCCTTGGCCTAGGCTCCAACGTGAGCCACAGCGGCCCTGGCAATGAGCCCGGGAGGCCACTGGGAGCATCTCGGACTCAGCTCAGCTGTCGGACTGCCAGGCCCAGAACCCCCTCCCACAGCCTCTGCGCCCTGAAGTGCCCAGCCTGAGCCTGAGCCCCACGCCCTGCCAGCTCGCCTCTGGGCCCCAGGAAGCCCCTGGTCTTCCAAGGACTGCAGTGAGGAGGGAGGCAGAGGCTGACAGGGGGCAGGACGTTCCAGGCGCCCCGTAACCCCGAGGCCCGTGCCAGGCCTGCCCTACCTGCGGGTGAGCAGTGGAGGGTAGGGGCCGCACCCTCAGCAAGGTTCTGTCTCCTACGGAGCGCCTCTGATGTGGGCCACTCGGGGAAGTGTCCGGGCCAGAGCCATGTCTTCGCTCCCTGGCCTCCTAAGGACCTGCTTTCTCAGATGCCCCTGGGGCCCAGGCCCAGGCTCCAGCCCCTGCTCCTGGCAAGCCCAGGTCTGGAGGTCAAGCTCCCTGAGTACTGACAGCGCAGTGCTGGCCACCCACAACACCCACTCCCACACCACTCAGCCGATCCCGCCCAGCTGCACTGCAGCTCTCCCACCACCCCCACGAAACTCCCAGACTTGGACCCGCACTGGCACCAGCTGGGCCAACCCTCCTGCAGTCTGCCAGGCGTCTGGGCCCACCCTCTGCCCTCCCAGGCGTCTGGGCCGACCCTCTGCTCTCCCGGGTGTCTGGGCAGCTGTGGCAGCAGGGCCCTTCCTCAGGGCCGGCCTCACCTTGTAGCCTCACTATGCCAGGTGTCCTGTGACTTCCAAGATCTGAACCATGGGCAACCCCAGAGGCCAGGAGGAGACGAAGCCAGGGCAGGGCTTGCCTGCCCAGCACCAACCTCAGGACCCCGCCAGGAGCCTCAGGTGGGTCCTGCTGGGAAATGCACGTTCCCCAGACCCAAGCTGTGTCCCGGACAAGGGGATGTGGGCCGACGCCCAGGGCCCTACTCCCGTGTTGAAGTAGGTGACAGACCAGTCATCCGCTCGCTGAGTCCCACGGTAGTGATTGCGCTTGATGTGACCCGCCACAGGGCCCGTGAGACATGGAGTGGGCTCCCGAGGCTCCGCCTCAGAGGGGCGAGGCTCTCCTGCAGGGCCTGCAGGGTGCAGCTGGCGGGCGTCCTGAGCTGGGCTCTGGGCCTGGAGTCCGCAGCGATGTCCCGATCTGAGTGAAGGCAGGTGTGTGTCTGCTCTGACAGCCCCGTGGTAGCCCCTGGCCATCAGGGTTCTTGTCACCTGGGAGAGCCAGGGACCAGCTGTCTTTCAGCAGCTAGGCACATGGTGGGTGTGGGCACAGGGCAAAGCTCGCCCAGGGACCTGCACATAGCCCGAGACCCAGTCAGCAGTCGCGGGGGCACAGCCCAGGCCCACCCGGGGCCCCCGAGGGCCCCAGAGGCACAGAAGGGACCTGGCAGAGAGGAGGGTGGGCACCCCGGGCTCTGGGACTGCCCACGTTCACTGCCTCTTGCCGCCAGCTCAGCAGATACTGTCACCACCACTGCGCTCTGGCCAGGTGAGAGCCGCCAGCCTGTCTGAGATCCGGGCCTCGGCTGGGCCTGCACCCCCGCGCCTGGCAGTGAGCCTGAAGGCCGTGAGCTTCCACAGGGGGCGGGGCTAGGTCGCCCCAGAGACCCGGTGTTCAGCCCAGCTCCCAGCTCGCTCCTGTGCCAGCTCCCCGGGGATCGCCCAGGGGCGGCTCCCAGAGCTGTGGTAGGCGGGGACTGCCCTTCCCAGGACGGGCGGGGCAGGCCTTCCGTGAAAGTACCTGCTCCTAGTCAGTGACGGGGTCCATGCCCAGCAGACACCGGTTTCTCCAGCAGCAAAGCTTCCATGTGACGGGAGGCGGGGCTGGACCGAGGGCTGAGCAGCGGGGATGCTGGGGCCCCTGCAGTCCTTGCCCCCCAGGGCCCAAATCCCTGCCCCCACTGTGCTCAGTGTGCTCAGAGCTGTGCTCACTGTGTGGAGCTGCCCCCACTGTGCTCACTGTGTGCTCAGAGCTGTGCTCACTGTGTGGAGCTGCCCCCACTGTGCTCAGTGTGCTCAGAGCCATCTGCGGTGCTCGCCGTGGTTAGAGCCACGCTGCTGTGCTCACCGTGCTCGGAGCTGCACCACCACAGTGGCTGTGCTCAGAGGAGGTGCCGGAGGCTCCCTCGTCCCTGATGGCGAATGCCAAAGAGGTGTGCTCGCAGACCACGGCTGCCAACTGAAAGGGCCAGAAGCCAGCCAGGCGCCCCAGTGACAGCAGCAGAGTGAGGCTCAGTCCAGCCTGTGGGAACTGTGTCAGCCTGGGCATGCTGCAGATGCCACCTCCAGAGCAGGGCCGGTGGGACTTGGTGGCCCTGGCGAGCTCATCTGAGCCGCGGTGCTCTGAGGGCAGAGAGCAGCATATGGGAGACGCAGGAAGCCACCCAGGTGCTGAGATGGAGGGTGCATTGCTGTTCAGGGCCAGGAGGGGACACCACAGCCAGGCCGGACATCTGCTCAGTCGGGGGTGCCCTGGGAGCTCCTTAGATACAGACGTCGCTAAAGGGCCACTGCAGGCCCAGGCACTGAGGGGAGGGCAGTGGAGGGTGGACATGGACGACACAGTGCAGACGGCACAGCCCACCCCTTCGAGGGGGCCCGGGGGACGCACTGCGGAGACGACACGTGTCAGGTGGGGCCGGGAGGTCACAGCTGCTCTGGAGAGAAGGTGGGGGTACAGAGGCCTCTGTCAGGCCCACACCGCAGCATGTTTGAGGTGCACATGGGCCTGTCCAGGCTGGGGTTCAGTTTTACTCTGGCGCATGCCAAGTGTGGCATCGGAGCCTGAGAGGCGCGAGGGTGCTGGCGCACTGACCTCACAGAGGGCGCCGTGTGCTGGGGCAGGGGCAGTCCTGGGAGGAAACTCAATTTCACGCAGCTCAAAGCAGCTCCCGGGCAGTGACCTGCGGAGCCAGGGCTGAAACTTGGGCCATCAGCAGCTGGCCGTCCTCAGCACCTCGCCTGTCTCTGGAGGAGGCGCCTCTCCTGGGCCCAAGGTGGCCGGAGCTGGGCTTCTGAGAGCTGGTGTCGTCACTGGGCAGGTTCTGACTGCGATGCCCATGCCCGTGCACATGGGGGCCTGGGGAGGCTGGGGCAGGAGCCGGAGCCTTGGAGGGCTGCACGGGGCGGGGTCCCTCAGAGCCCCAGCCCCGCGAGGCAGAGGCCTGCTGTCCAGGCCGGACCCGGCGTGCATGCTGACCTGGGTGTCTGAGGAGCCAGGGGTCCACGTGGGAGGGCGTGGGCGACCAGCCCAGCCTGTCGGTGCCCTAACAGCCTCGTGCATGAACGCTCTGGTGCACTTCTGCGTTCCCAGCACCCTGGGCGTCCAGGTCACCTGCCGGCCCTGCGCTGCGTGGCCTGTCCCCTGGGCCAGTGTACCCTCAGGCATCTGTCCCTGCCAGCTCAGGTCCCTCATCCCCGGGGCTCAGGGGACAGCCTCGGCTCAAGTCCCTCATCCCCGGGGCTCAGGGGACAGCCTCGGCTCAGGTCCCTCATCCCCAGAGCTCAGGGGACCTGAGCTGGGACCTGGGCTGATTGTGGGGCCCCTACAGGGGGGGTCTCGACAGGCGACACCGGCAACCGGCGCTGCGACCAGCTTGGGCTCAGCTGGCACCAGGATTGCGACAGTTAAACCTCCGAGCCAGGATGAGGGAGGGAGCGAGCTC